CGGTTGGGCGCAAGCGTTTCTTGATGGCCTTCCAATTTATCGATGCTTCCCGGCGGCGCAATCTGGAGGCCGCCCGGGGCGCGCAGGTGCCGCAGCAGACTCCTGTGCCAACAGAGCTGAAGGCATGGTTCCAAGGTGTGCTGGCCCGGGCGCCAGCTTCGTGCCATCCGGCATCGCCTGACGCAGTCTTGGGGGCGCTGGCCGATTCTGGTGCTGTTCATGGCGGCGACCTCCAAGGCCTCTCAGCAGCAGAGTTGCGAGAAGTGTGGCCGCCTCTCAGAACGCTGCCCGATGACTTCCTGCGTTCCATGTCGTGGCAGACGGGCGCGCGCGGCTCAAGCGCCGTCGTGCCTAAGCTGAAAAGACACAAGCCAGAACGCTTTTGTGAGCAAGAACTGCCTCCCGGGAGGCCGGCTGCCAGGGCGGCGGCCGACGAGTATGCTGCAGCAGTGGAAGTTTTGGTGCAAGCCAGAGCTCAGAGATGTGCGCCTCCCGCTGATGTCCTGGCGCAATCAATGTCTGTCATATGCAGAGCGTCAGCTCCGGGACTGCATGACGGCGCCGCGGCCTCGCCTCTGCCATCGGCGAGAGCGCGGTGGCTGGCGCAAATTCCGGCGGAGCGTCGCGATGATGTGCTCCGCGGCCGCTTGCTGCTCCAGGAAATGGAAAACTGGCGACAGAGTGGACAAGGCTACGCATCAGCTGTGCGATTGTGGGGCAAGCTGGCAGCGGCAACTGGCGTACCAGAGTGGCCGCCTGATCAGGTGGTGCTCGCAGCGCTTGCATTTGCAGTTCCACGGGCGGCCACGCTCTCCCGGTACTGTTCCCATTTGTGGTCCACGCTCAGGCTTATACAGGCGCCTTTGGGGTCGCTGGCTGACACGAGTATGCTAGTCAAAGGCGCCCAGAAGAGCTGCACATCTGCGCCGCGCTTCAAGGCCACTGCGTCTGCGAGGCAGACCCGCGAACTCGCGGGCTACGCCCGGGACGTGTTGCAAGACGCGGAGCTCGCAGACAGTTGGGTCGTGGCCAGACATTTCACATTGAGGTATGGCTGTGAAGTACTTAAACTAGGTGCCGACCCGTCCCACTCTGAAGTGCGGTGCCACGTCCGTGACAATGTGTCTGAGGTTACCGTCGTTTTGCACAGAAGGAAAATGCAAGACAAATCTGTGCATGTGGCGCGGCAGTGCATTTGCAAGTCCGCATCGCAAGACTTGTGCGGGGTCTGCGTCTTGCGTCGACGTTGCGGCCAAGGAACAGTATTTCCAGTCCTCCAGTACGACAGGGCTTTAGCAGCATTGATAACTGCAGCTCTAGAACTTGGTTTCCCGAGAGGAGCAGAATGGGGCACCCGCTGCTTCCGCCGCGGTTGGGCCAATGACGCCCTGCGCCATGGGGGAGTGCCAGCCTTGTTTTATTCGGGCGGCTGGCGTGGCTTAGCTGCGTTCGGCTACGCCGCGGCGCAGACGAAGGGGGAAGTTCTGGCTGCTAAGTGGGCAGCAGAGTTTTCCGACTCGTCAGGCGATGGATCAGGCGGAGAGTTGAGGAAAACAACAGCAATATGCTATCTGGCTGGCGCTATTTCGCGCGAGCCCTGCTTATCCCAAGTCCAGGAGGTCCGGGATTTAAAAACGGAGCGATGCTCCAGAACTCACGCGGGGATCCGGGCCCGAGTCGCCTACATTGGGAGTGTTATGGACAGGGCGAGTTGAGCCCTCACCATTGGGGCGCTTCTCTCGGGGCTCTTACTCGCCTGTCGCGCCGGCAGCGTCCAGATTCCTGGCCCGCTGCAGGCGCGCCCACTCCACCAGAAAGCGGGCAAATAGATTTTCATACCCCCTAAACCAAATCTAAAGCCCCGCCTGACGTAAAACGGTTGGTAGGTTCATCAGTTGATGGCTTTAACCGTGTGCGTAAACTCGTGGGCAGTCACGGCTTGGGCTCCCGACGGAGCGGCGGATTTCTTCCAAAGCCTGGTTGGCTCCAGCTCGGAGCAGCGGTGGTCTTCGACAACTCCGGAGGCCGATCGGGGCACCGCCCGGCTCGGGGGCGGGATAGCAAGTTCCCGGCACCACGGCCGCCGCGGAGCAAGCGCCCTGCGGGGTGCACTCGCTCCACCAGGGGGTCTTTGCAGGCTCCCAGTGGTCCACAAGGTGGGCCAGGTGCTGTTCACAGCGCCCGTGGTGTTGTTTGTCATCGCCTTCGTCTTTGCCCGCCCGCCCGCCCTTATGGCTTGGTGTGGTTTCTGGGGAGTGTGGGGCCGGCGCGTGGCGGGGCGCTTCTCTCGGGGCTCTTACTCGCCTGTCGCGCCGGCAGCGTCCAGATTCCTGGCCCACTGCAGGCGCGCCCACTCCACCAGAAGGCGGGCAAGTAGATTTTCCATTCGTTCCACATGGAGAACCTGCGACCCACCCGCGACCCCAACCGCGCCCGCGACTCACCCGCGACCTACCGCGACCCACCCGCGACCCACCCGCGACCCACCCCGCGACCCACCCAAATTTTTCGGCGCCTGCGGCGGGCTTCTTTTGCATTCGGTCCAGGTGGAGAACCCGCGACCCACCCACGACCCAAACCACATTCAGTGTACAAATCAAAATTTTCGGCGCCTGCGGCGGGCTGTTTTCGAATTCCTTCCAGGTGGAGGTGGAGAGCCCGCGACCCACCCGCGACCAAAACTACGTTCACTGAACAAGCCAACAATTCGGCGCCTGCGGCGGGCCGTTTTTGCATTCGTTCCGGGTGCCCCACCAGCGATTCCCCGCCCGCTGAACTTGTCAGACCACGCAAATCGGCGCCTGCGGCGGGCTTGCTCGCATTGGTTAGGAGGAGGAGGAGGAGGAGGAGGAGGAGGAGGAGGAGGAGGAGGAGGAGGAGGAGGAGGAGGAGGAGGAGGAGGAGGAGGAGGAGGAGGAGGAAGAGGAGGAAGAGGAGGAGGTGGAGGAGGAGGAGGAGGAGGAAGCGGACGACGACGACGATGATGAGGACGAGGACGCGGACGAGGAAGAGGAGGAGGAGGAGGAGGAGGAGCAGGAGGAGAAGGAGGACGAGAAGGGCGCCATCGACAAAGAAGGTGGGGGCCACGAGGTCCGCCAGCTCGACGCCCGCGTCGCCCGCGCCCGCCCCCTCACTCTTGTCCGCAATTGCGGGGTGCGTTACGTATGTTTATGGTGCTTGCTCGTCTTCGAAAGCACAGCCGGGCCGCCTGCAGACGACGCTGGGCACCGCGGCAGACCCACGGCAAGCCCTGCGCGCCCGAGGTGCGGCGGCCGAGGTGCGGCGGTCCCCGCGAGGGCGCGCGCCCCTCCCGAGGACGGGCCTCGAGCGAGCGGGCCGCCGCCGCGCGCGAGGCGCCGCCCGGGCCCCGGGGGTCCAGCGAGGGCCACCGACGACGAAGACGACGACGACGACGACGACGACGGACGACGGACGACGGACGACGGACGACGACGACGGCGACGGACGATGGACGACGACGACGGACGACGACGACGGGCGACGGACGACGGACGACGACGACGACGACGACGGACGACGACGACGACGACGACGACGGACGACGGCGACGACGACGACGACGACGACGACGACGGAAGACGACGACGACGACGGACGACGACGACGACGACGACGGACGACGGGCGACGGACGACGGGCGACGGACGACGACGGGGAACACCGACAACCGCCCGTCGCGAGGCGTTCTCACGACGAGGGGATCTCGGGGGCCCGCGAGGGCGGTCGACCAGGGCCCCGGAGTTCCCCTCGGAGCCCGTTCGGCGTCGGAGCCCGCCCGGCCGCCCGGCGGCCTCGGGATCGAGCCCCTTCGGCGGCCGAACGGGCTCGCGGCCCCCGCGAGCCTGTGGAGAATGGAGCCCCTTCGGCTCTCAGTCCCCGCGAGGCTTTGGAGCATGGAGCCGCTCTTGCCGTCGCTCGGACGTCCATTCCCCGCGCACTTTTCGGTCTCGTGCGTGTTTTTTCTTTGCTCGATGGTCCAGGATGCTCCTCGAGGGTTCTCGCCGAGGAAAAATGCACACGTCCGAGCGATGCCCAGCACTGCGGCTCTCCATCCCCGCGGGCCTGTGGCAATCGAGCCCCTTCGGCTGCCCCCTCGGCGGCCGAGCGGGCGCGGGCGGGGAAGCACTGGCATGAAATGGGCGATGCGTCAGCAGTCGACCGGCGATAGGCTCCCGACAACGAGCCCCCACGATCCCGGAGCGGGGAGGAGACGCCTGTCGGGCCCCTGTCGCCGATGACTGGGCGATTGGGGGTCGATGCATTCCCCCCTGAGCCCATTCCTCCCCTCGGGTTTTCGGGTCACAGCTCGAGACGATCTGGGCACCCCTGGAGCGCCCTCGGCGAGGCGCAGAAACACCGCCGGAAGACCGCCCGAGGGCGGGCGAGCACACTGCTGGGTCGAGGCGATGCCTCTTTCCCCCGCCCTCCAGCCCTGACGACGACGACGACGACGACGCCGACGCCGACGCCGACGACGACGACGACGACGACGACGACGACGACGACGGCGACGTGGGCGCGACGTTGGCGACTCCGGCGGCGGCGGCAGCCCCCCGACGCTGCCCCCGAGAGGACGCAGCGAGCCGCCACGGAGAGGAGCGGGCGATTGGGGGGTCGACGCTGCCCTCCGAGGAGCAGCAGGAGGAGGAGGAGGAGCAGGAGGAGGAGGGGGAGGAGGAGGAGGGAGGAGGAGGAGGAGGAGGAGGAGCAGGAGGAGGAGGAGCAGGAGGAGGAGGAGGAGGAGGAGGAGGAGGAGGAGGAGGAGGAGGAGGAGGAGGAGGAGGAGGAGGGAGGAGGAGGAGGGGGGGGGAGGAGGAGGAGGAGGAGGGAGGAGAGGAGGAGGAGGGGGAGGAGGGGCAGGGAGGAGGGAGGAGCCACGAGGCGCTGCCCCGGCGGGCGAGGCCGGCGCGCGGGGGGCGCCCCGCGAGAGCGCCGGAGCGCGCCGACGGCCGGGGCGGCGGGCGGCCCGTCGCGCGGGCCTTGGCGTGCTGCTGCTCCGTCCGCAGCTGGTCCTTCTCCTGGGGGGCTCGGGGCTCGCGCTCGGGCTCGGGCTGCGCGGGCTCGGGCTCGGGCTCGCGCTCCGCCTCCTCCTCCTCCTCCTCCTCCTCCTCCTCCTCCTTCTCCCCTTCCTCCTCCTCCTCCTCCTCCTCCTCCTCCTCCTTTTCCTCCTCGTCGTCGTCGTCCTCCTCCTCCCCCTCCTCCTCCACCTCCCCCTCCTCGCTCGGGCGTCGGGCTTCGGGCTTCGGGCTTCGGGCTTCGGGCTTCGGGCTTCGGGCTCGGGCTGGGGCTGGGGCTGGGGCTCGAGCACGGGCTCGGGGCGCCGGGCCGCGGTGCGCCGCGCGGGCGTCGGCCCCGTCGGCTGCTTGACCTCCGCGACTGCTCGATGTTGTGATCCTTGATCCCGCGCGATCCTCTGATCGATCTCTCGGGGACCTTCTGACCCGGGTCAATCCAGACCCGGGTCAGCAGGAAACCAAAAACTGCAACGCAAGGAAAAAAAACTGCAACGCAGGTCTTCGCAAACCCGGGTCAGCCAATAGGCGCGGCCGCCTCACGGCCGCGAGCGGCTCGCTAACCCGGGTCAGCCAGAGGGGGTCTTCGCAGGATCCTGCAGGATCTGGCGCCCTGGCTGACCCCCGTCTGCATTGACCCCCATCTCGAGGCTCCCGAGTCTCTCGGGGGGGCTCCAGCCGGGGGTGGCCACGCGGGGGGAACCAAAAGGTACCGACATCGCTGCTCCTCTGCTACTCCTCGGACCTCTCCTGGGGTGCGTTCTGGCCAGAATGTCGAGGCGAATCCAACGGTGGCGGCGAGGGCCTCCCAGCAGGCCCCAAAAAAGGGAAAACAAGGGAAAGGTAGCGGCATGGGTACCCTGTCCTTAAGTCGGGCGTGTACTGGAGGATGTTCGACGAAAAATCAAAAATACAAAAAAACTCCCGAATGGTCAAAAATACAACCAAAATAGTCCCCAGACTATTCTTTGACTACTTTTGAATATTCCTCCTGTAGAGGGACGGGCACACCGCGTGGGGATCTGGGGTCACCGCGCGGTCTTGACACCCGGATCGCTCTTGAACAGGACGTCTCGGGCGGCCCTTGTGAAGTCCCCCAAACCGTGCGTTGGCGGACCGCGCGGTGAGGCCCCTTGGGATTTGGAGGTCGCCGCGCGCTCGGTTACCGTACGGTTTTGGCTCGAATCTCCGACCGATCTGATTTCGATTTAGGTCGGGCAGGTCCGCCGACAGGCGGACTTTGGATGAAAAATCAAAACTAGCCAACAAATTCTCAAAGCATGCTCCCAAATAATCAAAACATCGTCCCCAGACAATTTTTGACTATCTCTGAACATTCCTCCTGTGGAGGGACACGCCCGACTTACATTCTGATTCAACCCTGGAGCTTTTCTTTCGCGACCTCGGTCGAAAGTCTGCTAACCCGGGTCAATCCAAACCCGGGTCAGCAGGAAACCAAAAAACTGCAATGCAGGAAAAAACGCTGCAACGCAGGGCTTCGCAAACCTGGGTCAGCCAATAGGCGCGGCCGACTCGAGGCCACGAACGGCTCGCTAACCCGGGTCAGCCAGAGGGGGTCTTCGCAGGATACTGCAGCATCCGATGCCCTGGCTGACCCCTGTTTGCATTGCCCCCCGTCTCTTGAGCCCCGACTCGGCCCCTGGGGGGGTCTGCCGGGCCCCGGCGAAAAACTGCCCCCGCAGAACGGGCCGGGCATCCTCTAGCTGGGCGCCGGCATCCTCCGGGGCAGTCCTAGTCCGGGCAGAGCCCCGTCCTGGGGTCTCCACCCGCGCTGCGGGAACAGCTCGGGCTGAGTATAACAAGCGGGAGACTCGAGTCCGGGGCTGCTCGAAGAAGCGCCGTGCGCATGAACTTTTGGCGCTCCACGCGGGTCTCTTGGCTCCGCGCTGGAGCCCCTCCCGGGCGCGCGGAGCGCGCCAGGGGCGGCGCCGGAGGCGGCGCCGGGGGGGGAGGGCCCATCGCGGATCCAATAAATCCTCGCGGAGGGCCAAAAGTCGATGCTTATGCTAGTCTTTCCTCTTTGAGCTGCCCCTGACCACCCCCTGCCCTCATCGCCGGCGCCGCGCGACGACGAGCTCGCATTGCCGGACGCACAGGATCGGGGCGAGGGGGCCCGCGCAGGCCAGCTCCGGCCCCTCCTCGGCCCTCGGGCTGCTTCTCTGCGGTCGGCGGGGGGGGGGCCCTGGCGACCCCGCGCGGCCGCGCGCGAGGACGACTGCTTGAGGAGGAGGAGGAGGAGGAGGAGGAGGAGGAGGAGGAGGAGGAGGAGGAGGAGGAGGAGGAGGAGGAGAAGGAGGAGGGAGGAGGAGGAGGGAGGAGGAGGAGGAGGAGGAGGAGGAGGAGGAGGAGGAGGAGGAGGAGAGGAGGAGGAGGAGGAGGAGGAGGAGGAGGAGGGGAGGGAAGAGGGGGGGGAGGAGAACCGAGGATCGAGGATGCACGGGAGTCCGCGGTCGACCACGCCGCCGCGGCCCCGCGCGCGCCCTCGCTAGGCGCGCGTCGGGCACCGTCAGGTGCCTGGGAGGGCGCGAGGCGTGCCGCAGCAGGCGGCACCCTCCTCCTCACTACCTCTCCAGGGCAGAATACATCTGCGGGGGGAGCGACGTTGGCCAACCTCCCCCAAAACCGTGTACTCCCACGGGCCAACCTCGAACAGCACGACGGGGTCCATCAGCTGCTCGTCGAAACTTGGGCATCTTTCCTACGTTCGGGGGCCACGTTCCATCAGGCCAGCATTGTCCAGCCTTGGGTGGCAGCCCCGTCCGTAATCGCTTCAATACCGTCTCTCCACTGGGCGCGACCCTGTCTCTGCACCTGTCAGCGAGCAGTGTCAGTCTTCCTCGTCCGTCGCTGTTGTGATAAGCCACCAGCGCACACCTCCAACACCCAAACTGGCCATGAGCGACGGCGATGTGGTGGCTCGGGTGGATCACCTTGTCGTGTATTTCAATCATCTCGTTGTTGGGTACTGGTACCTTCCAACATCTGCTCGATGGGTTTCTGCTCGATGGGTTTCGCAATGTCTTCCAACACATATGTTAGCCTTCATCCAGTCTGTCACACTGTACTTGTCTGGCGTGTTCCAACATTCTCTGCAAACCCACTGGCCCTTCTGCTTGAACATGTTGTGCCCAGTATCTTGTTATAATTGCTGTTGTCGCTGTCTGGCGGCATGTCTTGGTGCTGGCGGTGGTCGATCATGCTTTATCGGGTCCACATCCTTGCAGATCTCGAAGTTGATGGCTGCCGCTCGCCTGTGAACCTTTTCTGAGCAACCTCTCCGTGTCCGCCAGCTTCTGCACTTCTTGCTTGATGTCGTAATGTGCTTCTTCGGCTCCTCGTTGCGCCAGAGTGTCCGCAATTTCGTTGCCAATGCTGATCTCAGGCGACTGCTTCGTCTTGACCATGGACTCGCGGTCGAGGTGGGAGTAGCATTTGATGACTCTGACTCCATCATCGCGTCCTGGTCGTCTTTGAATCAGTTGGCCAATTCTTTGCCACCGCCCAATCATTGTCCCTTGCGGCCTCTGGTAGAGTTGCTGGTGCCATCCATTAGCCACTTGCTGACAGTCCGTGTAGATGGTGAGGTAAGCATGAGGGCCTAAAAACTGGCTTCGGGGTGCGATAGGGAGGAGTTGGTTATCTATAAAGAGAACCAATGGAGGAGGAGGGAAAGGAGGACGAGGAGGAGGAGGAGATGGAGGAGGATGAGGTGGAGGTGGAGGAGGCGCACCCCCCTGTTTCGGTCCCAGATGCCGCTCGGCCGCCGAATAGAGACAGGGACGCGCTAGGAGAGGTGCAGGCCAGGGGGGTCCCGCAAGTCCCGACGCAGCGCTATACTTCCCGATTCTCTCCTGGCGTGCGCCCTGGCCCGAATTTCGACGACTTCGGGGCGAATCAAGCTGGGGCGACGAGGCAACGGTAACCCCATCTCCAGATGCCGCTCGACCGCCGAAGAGACAGGGACGTCCTAGGCAGGGTGCATGGCCTAGGGGTCCCGCAAGACCAGAAATAGCGCTATATTCCCAGACCCTCTCCTGGAGTGCGCACCGACCCACATTCCAACGACTTCGGGGCGAATCCAGCCGGGGCGACGAGGCTTACGTTGTTCCCCTTGTACTTCAGGGCCACGTCACAGGAATAATGTCGAGCGCCCAGAAAAGTATCGAAGCAGTGTATGTCCGACGCGCTAGTGAAGTGTCGAAGGAATATCGCTTGCTAGGGCCCAACACGTGAAAACCCTTCACTTCCTTGGTGCTCGAAATTCTTTCTGGTGGTCCAGGCTAGAACAGGTTGGAACAACATAAATCGAGGCAAGGGCACGGGATCGGTGTTTTTTTTTGTGTGTGTGTGTGTGTATGTGTGTGTGCGCCCGGGTGTGTGTGTGTGTGTGTGTGTGTTCCTCTCCTGGCAAGCTCTAGTGGTCGGGGGCGTCGGAGAGGGGCGCGCCCAGTAGAGACAGGTTCGCGAACCATGGCCCGAGGCACGTGCGCGGGCGAGGGGGCGACCAGGGGGCGCTGCGGAAAGAGAAGGACAGGGGGGCAGTGGTGAAGTCTGGGGCGACTTCGTGGCCCTGGCCGTGATGGCCACACGCCCCTGGTCCTTGCCACCCTCCTGGGCGACCCCGGCCAGGATCCCGAGGGGAACGCCACCGCGGCGACGAGGGCCCCTCGGGAGGCCCAACGAGGGCGAAAGCGAGGGATGGGCACCGATGCTCTCCACTCCCTTTAACTCCGACGACGCGGTTTTCCCGTGTGGACTCCTGGGGACCTGGACCCGTTCCCCAAGACTGCCTTGTCTTGCCGAATTGCTTCTTGACTGTCCTGGGCCCGGTAATGGCCGCAGGAGGCAAACCACAGAAAGACAACAAACGTACCACCACCACCACAACCACCATCACCACCAATCACAACAACAACAAAGCCAACACCAACAACAGCAACAACAACGACAGCAGCAGCAACAACACCACCAACAACAGCAGCAGCAACAGCAACAACAACGACGACAACGACGACGACGACGAGGACGACAACAACAACAACAACAACATCAACAACAACATCAACAACACCAACAACACCAACAACAACAACAACAACACCAACAACAGCAACAACAATACTTTTAAGACCGTTCGCCTTATATGCTCGAGTGTCCAATAACGCGTATTTCCCAAACCCTCGATACCCGCCCTCTTCGTCTTCGATCGAACCCCTTTTGGGGGTATACCTTTCTTTCCTGCAGGCCAGGCCCCGGCAAGCGGCGGGGCGGCCGCGGACCGTCGGCCTGGCCAGCGGCAGCGCTGATAGGCGGGGCGGCCGCGGACCGTCGACCCGACCCCAAGAGGGACGGACAGGGGACCGACCACGACGACGACAACGACGTCGAAGACGACGGCGACGACGACGACGGCGACGACGAGCGAAAGCGAGAGCGAGAGAGAACGACAGCAGGGCCACGAAGGGCACGAAGTAGGCCACGAAGGGCGACAGCGGGGACACGAAGGGAATGCGTATGGGGCCACGAAGAGCGCGAACGAGCGGGGGCCACAAAATGCAGATAATGCGGGGCCACAGAAGGCAACTATGGGGCCACTGAAGGTAGCAACTGGGCCACGTGGGACATTAAGGGGGACACAAATGGCGACAGCGGGGCCACGAAGGGCATGCACATGGGGCCACAACGGGCGCGACTCCTGGGTGCCTGGGTGTCGGAAACGCGGCGCTTGGGCAAATTGCAAGAAATTCCAACGCAAGGCCATTCTTCAGTAAGTTGCAAGCAAGTCTCCAGCGAGAGCGCGACTCCAGAGCGCCGGGAGAGCGATTCCTGAATAAATTGCAAGGAAGTCCCAAGCGACAGCGCGATTCCTGAATAAAATGCGAGGAAGTCTCAGTCGGGAGCGGGGGTCCTGGAAGTCTCATGCGGGAGCCGTTGTTGTTGTAACCTGGAGGCCAGGGGCCCAGTTTGAGCAGGAAGACATTTCCTGTCAAAAAACAGGGTGCGAGCGTCGAGGGGCACACTTTGATGGAGAAAAAACAGTATGCACCGGTGGGGAGGGATCAGCAATAATTATTTTTCAGAAATGAGAATTCAACAAACAGTCCGTGTTGATTTTTCACGACGAGAGGGGGTGGGGGCTGTCCTGCCCCGAGAAAGGCAACGAGACCGCGCAGGCGTGCAGACGACCACGCGGGAGTCTCCTGCTCCAGCAGGAACAGCCGCTTCTGGACCGACTGCAGCTGCCCCCTGGCGCCCCAACCCGTGCGGCACAGGGCTGGACGGCGGAGCAGCCACGACAACGCAGACAGCGTCGAGCTCTGCGTGCGGAGCGAGGATTTTCCAGAACCGTCGCCTGCGAGATAGATCTACGAGGACCTCATGGATATAGCTGCCCCCCAGGGCCCGGAGATATACGTGTCCACCGCCTGCCCAGGTCGCCGAAGATTGGTCGCCCAGGCGGCGGCTGTGGATTCACCGCCACCTCGGATTGCGGAGAAGGGCTTCAGTGGGCAGGAATTGCTGTCAAAGAGGAAGAGCAACCTGCACACACGTACTTTCTCGGAGGTCCTTGCAGCTTTCCTGGATCGGCGCTACAGTTGGGGCGTTGACCTAAGGAACGATAATTAAGGAACGAGGCCCCTTCTTCCCATGAGTGAAACTTCGATTCCCCATCGAGAACCAAAGGAAAACCTAAGGTAGACTGTACAACAACTGAGGAGCACGGAGCCCCTCCCAAACGAGAAGGGTTCCTTCCTCGGAGCCCCGACTGCAGGCCCCCCCCCGCGCGCCTGGGGCGGCGCAGGACGCGCCGCCAGGGGGGCCTAACGCCGACACAAGAAAGCAGCGCGGCGCTCCGATACGGCGGTGGACAAGCCTCCCTTTAGTAGACCTCCCCTTAGTGAAAACGGCCTGGGACCGAAACCGACGGACCTGGACCCGCAAAAATGATGGCCGCGACGCCCTCTGGCGAACCGAAAACGGCCATTCCCTTAATCGACGTGTCAGGGTAGGAGGTCTGTCCACCCCCGACCGATACATTGTGTGTACTCCGAGTTTCTTGGTAAGCGTCGGGGGGTCGTCACCCGCGCCGACAGCCCCACATCGACCCCCGTCGCGGGCAACCACCGCGCGCCGAAGGCGCTCCGACCCCCGTCGCGGCGCGACGACGAGGCGAGGTCGATTCCCGTCGGGGGGGGGCACCCCCGCGCTTATTACAAAACCCAGAGTCTGCATTTTGCTGGTTCTTCAATGTCAATCGTCGTCGCCACTATTTCCAAGGCATTTCCGAAACCCCGAAAAAAACAACTCCGATCAACTCCCGGAAAACTTGCGCGAAATCGAGGCGCAGCTGCTGGAATGCATCCCGAGGCTGGAAAGCCGCCAAGGTCCGACAAAAACTCCAATCCGGCACACGCCAGCATGGATTAGGGATCCGCGGATCGGGTGCGCGAGCGCCAGATCCACAGATCGGGGAAAGTTCATGTTGAAACATGAGGCGTGTGCCGCTTGAATTGGTGACGGGCAGCGTCGATTTTGCATGGCAACAAGATCAGTCGCTAATCCGCGCGCCTTACCGCCAGTCTGAAGACGTAGGTGGAAATTCGAAGTAGGAAATCGGTTAAAGTAGATTGGATTCGGGCCAGTCCACAGAATACAATAACACAGCAACACACACAGCGTTTCTTCAGGAAGGCTCTTGAAGTAGATTGGGATCCTGATGCCCAAAACGACATACTTTCAGCGACTGGCGTGTAATCCATGTCTGCGCTGCCTCGAGAAAACCTCGAGCCGACCCCCCCCGCAGAAGAGCCCATCGTCGAATCGATAAGTCGGATCGGCAATCGAAATGAATCGGATCGGCGGGAATCGACAGGCTAGTACGCCTCCACGAAGGAATCGGAAGCCATCGAAGCCGAATCGAATCGGAGGAAGAAGGAGGAGGAGGACGAGAACGAGAACGAGGACGAGGACGAGGAGGAGGAGGAGGAGGAGGAGGAGGGGAAAAGGCGAAGGGGTAGGATAGAAGAGGGTAGGGTAGATGAGGAGGAGGATGAGGAGGATGATGATGATGAGGAGGAGGAGGAGGAGGAGGAGGAGGGGAATAAGGAGGAGGAGGAGGAGGAGGAGAGGAGGAGGAGGAGGAGGAGGAGGAGGAGGAGGAGGAGGAAGAAGGACGAGGGCGAAGACGAGGCCGAAGACGAGGACGCTGCCCCTGGTCATCCTCAGGCTGCTGTTGTCCTTGCGGAGCGCCTGCAACTGCTTCTCCTGCGGGTTCGGCGAGGCGAGCTCGCTGGCCCTCCTCCTCCTCCTCCTTCCGGTCTAGTCCTGCTGCTACTCCTGCTCCCCCCCCCTCCCTCCCTCCCTCCCTCCCTCCTCCCTCCCTCCCTCCCTCCCTCCCTCCCCCCCCTCCCCCTCCTCCTCCTCCTCCTCCTCCTCCTCCTTCTCCTCCTCGTGGCTCCCTGCGCTCCCCGCGGTCCCTGCTCTCCTGCCTCCCGATTGCTGCAGCTCCCTGGCGGGCGAGGGGCGGCAGGCGAGAAGAAGATCGGGTGCTGCGCAATGGGAGGGCGCTGCGCCAAAGGGGGGGGGGACGAGGGGAGGAGGAGTAGGAGTAGGAGTAGGAGTAGGAGTAGGAGTAGGAGTAGGAGTAGGAGTAGGAGTAGGAGTAGGAGTAGGAGTAGGAGTAGGAGGAGGAGGAGGAGGAGGAGGAGGAGAGGAGGAGGAGGAGGAGGAGGAGGAGGAGGAGGAGGAGGAGGAGGAGGAGGAGGATGAGGAGGAGGAGGAGGAGGAGGAGGAGGAGGAGGAGGAGGAGTTGTTGCGTCCGAGCGATGCCAGGGGAAGGGGTCCTTCAAGGGGCCCGAATGGGGCCCCCCGGGGGGGCACCCTTCGGGCCCCTCGGAGAGCACCTGCTGGGCCCTCCCGAGGCCCTTGAGCAGGGCACACAACGGGTGCACCTGCTCACGGGAGCCTGGCAACGGTGCCCTTGAGCGCAGGGGCACCCCTCTTCCCCCCCCCCCGCTTGTTGCCCCTCCCATTGAGCAGCGCACACAAAGAAACCGCTGCTCCCAGATCGGGGACGCCTGCGGCCGGAATCGGCGGCGAGCCCGGTGGGGGAAGTGACGAGGGGGCACGCCTTCGGAAATGGCAGCAAAGCTTCTCGGACCCCCTCGCGCCTTCTGAGAAGCCTTGCAACCAGTCTCCGAAGCCGCAGACGGCTTCTCGGAAGGCGCGAGGGTTTCCGAAGATCCCCGCCGGCTCCTGAGAAGGCATGCCCCCTCTTCACTTCCCCGTGGGCTCGCCGCCGATGGAAAGCTCATCCCCCCACGGCGGCACGTCGGGGCACAGACTATCCAGCTGCCCGAGCACGTTGGCGCACACAGTGGCGGACAGGCTTGTTATCGGAGGTTGGGGGGTGAGATCGCAGTGGAACGGAGACCCCCAACCGGGAAATCGTTTCGTGTCGTTCGTGTCGTGCGTGCGGGCGAGGCGAAGCTGCGTGGGCGCGCGAGAGGAATTCACCCGCCGTTGCTAGGGCGAAGTCAGGTGTTGCTCCCCCGTCCGTCCATCTGGCGGTGGCCCGCTGTGTCCCGTGGTGTCCCGTGGTGTCTGGTGGTGTCCTGTGGTGTCCCGTGGTGTCCAGGAATCAACCCGCCGTTGCTGGGGCGGAGTCAAGTCACATGTTGCTCCCCCGTCCGTCTGTCCGGCGGTGGCCCGCGGTGTCCCGAGGTCCCGTGGTGTCCAGGAATGAACCCGCCGTAGCTAGGGCGAAATCAAGACAAATGTTGCTCCCCCGTCCGTCCGTCCGGCGGTGGCCCGCGGTGTCCAGCGGTGTCCCGTTGAGTGAGATCGATAGTGAGATCGATAGTGAGATCGATTGTGAGATCGATCGTGAGATCGATAGCGAGATCGATACTGAGATCGACGTGGTGCCCCGAGGTGTCCCGTGGTGTCCCAAAAAGTGAGATCGATAGTGAGATCAATCGGGAGTTCAACAGGTGTCCCGTGGTGTCCCGTGGTGGCCCGTTGAGTGAGGTTGGTAGTGAGATCGATTGCGTCTGATGTTGGCTCCCCCAACTTTCCCCCCCTCCCCCAACCTCCTCATCACCCGAGGCGTGGTTGCATAGGTCTACTGTCCTTCGTCCACGCACTCCAAGGGTCCACGGCAGGACTCATGGCCCTCGCGGAGGCCACAAAAGGCTCCTCGGAGCTCGGCAGGGCTTACACCCAGGGATCGGGAAGCTCTGGATGCGCGGGGGTGACCCGAGGTGTGGCCGAGTGGCTGGGGCCGCACGTGGACGGAGCTGGGAAAAGGCGGATTCTCATCTTTCCTCGGACGGCCACCCTGTGGTGACTCAAGTTGTCCCGAAGCTCTTTCTAGATCATCCTAGATTTCCCCGAGCTCTCTCTGGACCATCCTCCCCATCGTGTCATCGTTAGACACAGGGTTCGGCAAGAAATTCACGTTTCCTCGAGGCCAATGGAATGCATCGGCCCCATAAGCAAGCACCACCGCCTCGGAACATTGAAGATTCATCTAAATTGCTTCGTTCACCCGGGAACTCAGTGATCCCCAACGCATGAACGTTTTCATTTGGACACGGGAGGAGCTTCAAGTTCAGATGCAGCCCCAAGTATCTGCTAAATGGGGAGCTTAAGGCTGGCCTCAACATTTCCTCGGACAAATAGAGAATGGAAAACAATAATAACGCAAAGGCGGCATTGCCACCTGGGTCCCGTCAGGCTGGGAGGACAAAATAGCGTCGCAATGATACCAACGGTTCGAATCAGTGTCTATGTGGATCACCACCTCCTCAGCAACTGAGCGGCATCCTGGTTCTCTTGACCGCTAAGATCTGGAACTACCACATCACATTATGTCCAACTGGACTGACCTGGCGTCTTAAACACGGTCCTCAAGAATGTTCCGCACATCTTGATTTAGTCACATCGAGTCTCCAATGATACACAAAATCGAGTCTGCCTGTTCCGTCCCAGCGTCCTCCATCAGAACATCTAGTCTGCCCCGGATCCCCCAAATCAAACCTGACAGGACAGACACGGGAAGCACCACCTTTGTCCACAGTTCGTAAGACGAAGAAGAACATACTGGAGAGAAGGACGACAAGGATGCGGGCGGGGAGAACAACAGCGGAGGATGAGGGGACAACGAGGAGGACCAGGAGGACTACGAGGAGGAAGACAAGCACAGGAATGCGGAAGCAGACGAGAAGAGCATGCACGAGGAGGAGGACGAAGATAAATGAGGAGGAGGAGGAGGAGGAAGGGGGGGAGGAGGATGAGGAGGAGGATGAGGAGGAGGATGAGGAGGAGGATGAGGAGGAGGATGAGGACGAGGCTCAAGAGACGGAGGGCGACGACGAGGAGGACGAGTACTGGGACAAGGCGGGAGAGGACGAGGACGACGGGGAGAACGACGAGGAGAAAGACGAAGTGAAGGCACAGCTTGGATGACTGTGAAGAGGACGGAAATGAGGACGAAAAGGAGGACGACGACGGAAAGAGGGACGAGACAAACGATGAGAAGGACGTGGACGGAGTGAGGGTCCGTGGTACTTGCTGGGGATAGGATGGGAACTGCTTACAAGGAGCGCCTGAGGCCGTGTTTTGAGCCAGCTAAGACAATTTCAGTTCTGACCCCATCCGCAATTCTTCCAACGGAGCTTGCAAAGCAACTGGCAGTCGACCCCGGCTCTCCTGGAACAAGAACTCCCCCTAGAACAAACCATGCTACAGATCTGCCCCCCCGCCACTACACCTCCGTTTACAGCATCGCCATTTTCGGTGTGCCTTGGCTTGGCCGGCGCGGGCCCCGCCCGCCCGCCTGTTCTCTCTGGGCCTCTTCGATCTCCTCCTCGCGGGCAGATTTATTCAACTCTTCACTCGAGACCCTGGCGCTCTCTCAATCGACAAGTGGTGAGGGTGTGTTCGCGCCGCGGGATGCAGACTGGCACAAGAGGCTCTGATCTTTTCAGGGACTCTGTGCTCGGCTTTTGGAGTCATCAGGACATGTGACATATGCAGCTCCTCGGATGTGCACCGATGACATTAACGCTAAATATCATCTCTCCATGGCTTTGCACTGCTCGTCTTTGAACAAGGGTCGGTGAAGCTCTTCGTTCCGAAGCAGGCAGCTCGACTGAATAGTTCCAAAAGGCCTGCGATGATCTGGGCAGGACGAAGGCCTTCTGCCCTGATCTGCGAATGTGCCGATCAGCAGACACTCATGGGGCACAGGGTAAGTTATAGTATGCGCAAGCTGCGAAGCACAACAATGTGCGAACATTGCAGAGATGAAGAACACGACTCTTGCCAAGGACGACCGAATACTAAACTGACAGCACAATTTGAATCAGAACACATGCGACTGCAGAACTCGCGGTGTCCGTGTGTGCTTGTGTGTGAAATAGAATGTGTGATTTCCAATTGCACATGGCGAAGTGGCAAGAACGCGCATGATGGCAACATATGTACCACAACAGAGCGTCACTTCCTCCAGCAGAAGCAAGAAAGACAGTCCTGGAAAACAAACTGATCCTGAAGAGCCTCGCTGCGCTCGCTCAGAGACTTCCGCAGGATGCCCTGCCCAGATGTTTTCCTGGTCTCAATCTCGCCAATTCTATCACCCGGCGTTCCCTTCCGAAGCATGACGCGTCGCCCCCTGTACCAGGACGTTGGGTACGCACATGGTTGGAGTCACGGAGGAGGAGGAGGAGGAGGAGGAGGAGGAGGAGGAGGAGTAGGAGGAGGAACACATGTGGTTGGATTAACATGTGGATCAATATGGAGGCCACGTGCTGGATGCAAATGCGGAAAGCCTGGCAGCCATGTCATACGAGAGCCAGGCGCTGGAAATATATGCGGCCACGCGTGTCTCAGGCTCTCGCCCAGGCCAGCCGCGTCATGTGTATCCAAGTTTCTGGTATCAGAACCTGTCGAACATCAGGGCTGCTGAACTGCGAGTACTGCCAAGTTCCCGACGTCGCCCTCTCCCCGCCGCTGCGTGCTGCATGGTTTTTGCTCCTGCCCCGCTGCGCTGCCGTGCACCCTCGCTTGCAGTCTGAAGGCCGCCCTGCTGCCGGTGTCTCCAAGTATTGCTCAGTCTCTAGCCCACAGCCAGTAAGCTGGCCTCGTAGCTCTTCTCCATCTCTCTCAATATGCTGAGCATCGCGCGATCATCCGGCATCTTGTCGGAGACGAGCTTGAACACCTGCGGCGCACGAGGGCGTGCGGCACACGGGTCGGAGGGGGAAACGTGTGAGCATCGTTTGGCCGATCCCCATCCCCACTGGCATGGCCTTGGCCCCACTGGCCGATGACCCCCGCACCCTTCGGGTTCTTGCCATCGCTCGGACGTCCATTCCCCTTGCATTTTTCGATTTCGTGTTCCCGTTCTTTCGCGAGAGGGTCCAAGATGCTCCGCGATGCCAAGCAACTGGGGGGGCTGGGATCGGGGGGCTGGGACACCATAGCCCCGCGCCGCCCCCGGCGCGCTCTGCGCGCCAGGCAGGGGGGTCCGGCGCAGATCCGAGAAATCTGCGCGGAACCCAAACAGTTCTTGCTCATCAGTGTTTTTCCTCTTCGATGGATGTGCAAAAGGCCTGTGCGTGCAAGGGAGGGGCAGGCGAGGCAGATACCGTGGGGGGGGGGGGGGGGCGTGGGACAGGTGCAGCGCCCGCCCTGGTGCGACCTGCGCTGTGCGCGTGCAACCTGAGTACAGGGCAGATTTTCATACATGGGATTTTTTTAATTAAACAATATAGGATGTTTAATACAGGATTAATGTATGAGCAAATGTGTGCATGAGCTCCTCGTTGCGTTCAGTACTAAACCCTGCATGTTTAATACATGATCCGCACGCGGAGCATGTATTAAAAGCGGCACTGTACAGCCAACCCCCTCGTGCTCCAGAGCGGAGGCCACGCGCCAAGGTGAAGACTGCCCCTCGCCGTCGCTCGGACGCCCGCTCCCCGTGCCAACTTCGGCCTCGTGTTGCCTGTTTTCGCGAGCTGGTCCTGGATGCTCCTCGCGAGATGTTTTCCTTTTCGCGAGATTGTCCTCTTTCGTGTTTCCTTTTCGCGAGATGCTTCCTTTTCGCGAGGTGGCCCTCGCCGAAAAAAAAACACGTCCGAGCGATGCCAAACTGCCGCCCCGGGAGAGGAGAGCTTCGAGCCCTCGCGTCGGCGGCGGCGGAGGCCCTCCTGGCATCAGGTCGGGCATGCCCTCCCACAAGCGGATGTTTGGGAAGAAACACGAAAATGGTCAAACAACTATTCAAGACTCGTTTACTGAAATAAGGGGGGAATCGTCCCCATATCATTTTAGGACCGTTTTTGAATATTCCTTCTGTAGAGTTGTGGATGCCACGGCAATGCACACCCTAACAATCCGATCATTGAATTTAAAATGTGTTTAAAATGTCGGAACACGTTCTAAACATGTTTGGAACCTTTTTTTTCATGTTTGACACATGTATTAGACATCCGGCAAGTATTTGGCAACATGCTTTGACGAACGGACAACACACACCCATACCCATCGGGGGGTCGTTGGGAGGAGGACTGGCTATGGGTATGGGTGCGGGTTGTCGGACCCTGGGGAACGCTCCCGTTCGAGCGGGGACCCCCATCCGACAACACGCACCCATAGTCCTCTCCGACCCCCCTATGGATATCATGCTTCCTCTCCATTGACCGTCCTCCACAACTGTAGGGGGACATTCCCGACACTGAACCCTGGCAGCCGGATGGCCCCGCGAGGCGCGGACGGCCCCCGGCGGGCTGGCCTCCTAGGGGGCCCGGGGAGGCGGCCCAGGGCAACGGCAGAGAGCTGGGCGACGAGAACGAGGAGGAAGGAGGAGGAGGGAGGAGGAGGCGGAGGAGGAGGAGGAAGAGGAGGAGGAGCGACGAGAACGAGGAGGAGGAGGCGGAGGAGGAGGAGGAGGAGGAGGAGGAGGCAGAGAAGGAGGAGGAGGAAGAGGAGGAGCGACCAGAACGAGGAGGAGGAGGAGAGGAGAGGAGGAGGAGGAGGAGGGGAGGAGGAGGAGGAGGAGGAGGAGGAGGAGGGGGAGGGACGAGAACGGGAACGAGGAGGAGGAGGAGGAGGAGGAGGAGGAGGAGGAGGAGGGAGGAGGAGGAGGAGGAGGAGGAGGAGGAGGAGGAGGAGGAGGAGGAGGAGGAGGATCGGCGGCGAGCCTGGGGGGGGAAGTGAGAGGGGGCGGGGCTTCTCAGAGGGCTTGGAAGCGCCACGGCCTTCTGAGAGGCTCCCTGAGCCTTGCCCGAGGACGCAGACAACCTCGTAGGAGGCCCGAGGGCTTCTGAGAAGCTCCGCCGCCTTCTGAGAGGGCCTTCTCCTCCTCACTTCCCCCCCGTCGCTGGCATCAGAAAACGCCCGTGCGCAGAGGCGGAGTGGGACTCTTTTTGTCGCGGATCCGGTAAACGCGCGCAGGCCCGTCGAGCAGCCCAGGGGCACCGAAACACTACAAGGGGAGGCCGATGGGACAGGCGGAGAGACGATCGGGCGCGCGTGAGGCATCCAGTCGGCTACGCGCAAGGGTGACCCTGGGCAAGGGTGACCCTGGGCAAGGGTGACCCTGGGCAAGAGTGACTTTGGGCAAGAGTGACCCTGAAGCACTGCGAGAGGAGGCCATTGGGACAGGCGGAGAGTCGATCGGGCGCGCGTGAGGCATCGGCTACACGCAAGAGTGACCTTTGGCAAAACTGACCTTTGGGTGCGCGGCTTTTTGGGGACCGCGGTGCGGCCAAATCCGCGCGCGCAAGCCGCTGCTACCGCTTCGCGTTCTGCGATCGGGGGACCCCATCCAGCCGGTCTTGGGCGCGGAGTTCATGAGGGGGCGATGAATGAGGGGGGGGAAAAGTGTTTGTTCTTGTTCGGGCCCCAAGGGCCCCCTTCTGGGGCCCCACAGGGCCCCCTTAGGGGCCCTAAGTGGCCCCTTTTCGGAAACCCTCGCCGCTCCCCCATGATCGCCCCCCCACTTCGCGCCCTCCAACGATCCATTGCACATCACCCGCCGGTCTCCGTGCCGAGGAGCCACGTTAGGGTTAAGTCGGGCGTGTCCCCCCGCAGGCGAATTTTGGAGGAAAAATTGAAAATACTCGATGAGTATACCAAGATAATTAGACAATCATAGAAAAATCGTCCCCAGACTATTTCCGAATCTTCCTCCTGTAGAGGGACCGGCCCGACCTAACGCTAGGTGACGACGGGCTCGAGGGGAGACACATGGACCTGGAATCCCTCGCTGCCCTCGCACGCGTCCCTCCCCGCGTATCGCCCCCCCTCCTCCTCCTCCTCCTCCTCCTCCTCCTCCTCCTCCTCCTCCTCCTCCTCCTCCTCCTCCTCCTCCTCCTCCTCCGCCCTCCTCCTCCCTCCTCCTCCTCCTCCTCCTCCTCCTCCTCCTCCTCCTCCTCCTCCTCCTCCTCCTCCTCCTCCTCCTCCTCCTGGGTCCCGACGGCGACCCCGCACTCGCTTGGGCAGGGTGGGCTGCAGCGGAGGCCAGTCCACAAGAAGCCTTCCACAAGAAACCCAAATGGACTCGTCGAGTCCAGAAAAAAGCGCAGAAGGTTCGTCGATCTGCGTCGGCGTTCTACGTGTTTTCTTGCCGTGGGCTCGGCGAGAAAACCCATTTCTGGGGTAAATGAATTCTGTAGTCGATCCCCTACAGTGGAGGCCAGTCCACAAGGAACCTTCCACGAGAAACTCAACCCTGAGACCCCAGGACGTCCACCGATTTTTGGTGTGGGAACGCCACGCTTTCCATAGCACAACCATCGAGGCCCAAGAAACCCAGGGCACCCTGAAGGCAAGCAGGGTGTTTCTTGGCATGGATCCCATCCGTACTGGGCCCCTATCGGCGATCAGTGGGCGATCGGGGGTCGAAAAATCTCCCCTGAGCCTGTCCCGCCTCTTGGCTTTCGGGTCAGGACTTGGCTCTCCAGCAGCCGGGCGGGACGATCCGGGCACCCCCAGAGCGCCCTCGGCCTGGCACAGCTGCTGGAGGGCATCCCAGGGCTGGAGAACCGCCGAGAACATACGAAAACGTCTGAAACAATCGATACAAGCAGCCCGTATCGTAAGGATGCGCGATGAGGATGCAAGGGTATTGGACGCCCATTTCGAAGCTTTTCGAGCGGGGCGCGGCCAACGAAAGTGGCGAAGGATGGACCGAGGAGGCAAGGATGCAAGGGTACCCTCGGGAAGGTTGCCCATCGTTGCTGTGCGGTCTGACGGTAGATCCTCGAACCTAGATCCTCCCAAACGTCGGGGTCCCGAAGGTTGATTCCAGCACCAATATCGGCTGTGTGCCTCCGGGAAGGTGATCCCGATCTCGGTGGTGGTGGTGGTAATGTTTGGGCTTCCGGGGTGGCCGAAAGACTACCACCAGCACCAGCATCCAGGAGCAGCTCCCCCCAGTGGAAACACCCCCCTGTATTGGTGTTTGTGCTCATTCGGGAGCGGCCAAGAGGGGGGTGTCCAAGAGGGGGGGGTGCAAATCATGACCGGCGGCATGTGTGCGGCCCAGCGGGGGGGCCAGGGACGTAATGAAACAAGAAGAAGCGCCATGAGATCTGGGGAAATATCATGGCCCACGCCATGATATCCCCCCCCCTAGTCATCACCCCCCTCTTTTCCGCCCCCGACTCATGTCCAATCATCCAATAGCGATCCAGGACGATCCGGGCATCCCCCGAATGCTCTCGGCGAGGCGCAGCTGCTGGACATGGAAGACACCCCGAGGCTGGAAAACCGCTGGGATCCGACGACAAGCATGCGGGAAAACTCCCAATATGCCCCGACAGAAACCCCCGAAAGCCCCCGACGCAGACCCCCGACGTCGTGATTTTTTCACAACGTCGACCCCCAGAGGTCTGGACTCCTTCCTCGGGACCGGTTTTTCGTCCTGACTCTTTTTCTGACGGTCCCGAGGCCCGGTGAGGGCCCCCAGAGGCCGAAAATGGCGAAACACTTCCCGTCGTGATTTGTTCACACCGCGAGGAGGTCTGAGATTGCACCCCCCTGATCGGGCGTTGGCAGAACTGGGTTTAGTGGAACCTGGTTTAGTGATTTGTACCGGGGGCGCCCCCCCGTCCCATCTCCACCAACCGGAACTGTCGTCACCCGAAAAGCACCAGTTACGGCAAACTTGGTCTAGTGAATCTGGCCCATTGAGGGGCCCCGGGGCCCTACCACTAACCGGGTCCCCTTATTACCCGGGGTCCTGGCTATACCCGACCTGAGCCACCCCGCCCTTCGCGGTGCCCCTGACGTGCACGTATGCTCCGTGCACCTGCGCCGCGTGCACTCGCCGAGGCCGCCCTGCCCGCCCTCGGCCCGCGCGGCCAGAGGGCCAAGAAAGCGGGCGCCCCCTCCATCCCTCCATCCTTCTTCTTCTCCTCCTCCTCCTCCTCCTGCTCCTCCTCCTTCTTCTTCTTCTTCTTCTCCTCCTCCTCCTCCTCCTCCTCCTCCTCCTCCTCCTCCTCCTCCTCCTCCTCCTCCTCCCCTCCCCCTCCTCCCCCCTCCTCCTCCTCCTCCTCCTCCTCCTCTCCTCCTCCTCCTCCTCCTCCTCCTTCTCCTCCTCCCCCTCCCCCTGCTCCTCCTCCTCCACATCCCCCAGGGGGGGGATGGCACCAGGGACGTCGTCTCCTCCGTGATGGCGGCCGTCAGCGGCAGCGCCGGCCGGAAGGAGAAGGTGTCGGAGCTCTTTCGGAATGCGGGCGGGAACCTGTCGTGCGGGGGTGGGAGGAGGAGGAGGAGGAGGAGGAGGAGGAGGAGGAGGAGGAGGAGGAGGAGGAGGAGGAGGAGGAGGAGGAGGAGGAGGAGGAGGAGAGGAGGAGGAGGAGGAGGAGGAGGAGGAGGAGGAGGAAGAGGAGGGAGGAGGGGGAGGGAGGAGGAGGAGGAGGAGGAGGAGGAGGAGGAGGAGGAAAAGGCTGTGATCCCGTCAGGCTGTGATAGCTGGGGATGGACGGGGGATGGAGGGATGGAGGAAGGACGGAGGACGGAGGGAGGGAGACAGGGATGGAGGAACAGTAGGAGGTGGGAAGCAGGAGGCACCTCTCCAGGCTTCTGTGGCAACTCACGGGAGCCCTCCATGTCATCCTGTTGGCGCTCGCGAGATCGGCGCCATCCGACGCCAATTCACGCGACACTGACGCTGAACCAATGCTAAGGTTGAGCTTCTTCACATAGTACCAGACGCTAGCGCAGACTAAGCCACTCAAAACACGGATTTCCGAGGACAAGCGCAGAGTCCAGGAGTTGCTACCGAACCGGACGCGGAGGTGGAGGGGTTTACCCATGAGTCGGAGAACGTGGGCAGACACAGGAGTTGGGAATATATTGCATATCCGCCCGCCCTTGAATAATAATGGTATTCAGAAGACGAAGAACAAAAACAATAACATCGAACAACAAGAAGGACAAGTAAGAGGGAAAACTGCTCGATCGCTGAAATTAATGAAAGGCGCCTCAGGTAGATTGGAAGCTGTGGGTCCACAAAACCCAATGTTCAACAACCGATGGGTGAAGCTCGCTTCCGACTTGCAGGATGCAGGCCAAAAAGCTCAGATCGCCTGTCGGGTGAGCTGCGCGCGCGTTGGTTATACGACGGCTTTGCGGCCATGGTCAATACATGCGCGAACAGATCCCGACAAAGGGCGGACAAGGCACGGCACTTGGCTGACTCCGCCTCCGTGCCCTCGGGCCGCTGAGGCGTGGCACGACGCCGCACGCTGTCGGGCAGGGCTTCTCTTCAGCCTTCTTAGGCCCCCCCCCGCCACAGCCGGACCCAGGCCAGAAGAGCACCCCTCAAGAACATGAGACCCCCCGCCGTCGGCCAACACAAACAGAACATCCAAGGGTACCTTCCGCAGGATGCACGAGAGCATCCATCAAACACGAATAAGATTTGTAGGTAAACACCCTGCGACGTACCCAACCCGATGGCATCACGTGGCAAGAGGAGTAGGGAAACATTAGCAGGAACCGTGACAGTGCAGGCGCGGCGATTTGTAGTGCGACCTACATGGGATGCGTAATGTTGCATCACTCACAGAACAGCAATCGATAATACGAGGAGTAGGTCTCAAGGCTCGTTAAACAATAGCGGGGGCGGGAACGAGGGACAGGAGAAGGACGAACCCAGTAGGAAGGGGCGAGGAGCCATCGCAGCAGCAGCAGCATGAATGCAGAAGGTGACAGGAGGACTAGGGCGGCGATGATGAACGAGGAGGGAGGAAGCAAGAGACTGTTTCGTTTTTGCAGGAGCTCGGTCAACGCATGCCTGCTGCCTGTCCACAGGATCATACCTGTTTATATCTAGTGCAGGAAGCGATCGAGACCTAGCTCGCGCGCCAGCTTCTCCGCCTCCTTCCTGCATGTTGCAGTGCGGGAACTGAACCTCCGCAATTTCTCTGCAAGGTCTGCCGGTGGGCCGCGGGAAAGAAACTCAAGGCCGGGGTCGCGCACCATCAGTAGGTTGTGTATCGTCGTCGCCCTGGACAGCATCACGTAGAGGTGCAGCCATAGAGCGTCCAGGTCGTTCGCATCCTTGCACCCTGCGTCAACAATGACTCCGCGGTGCATGGTGCGGCCCTGGCAGGCAGTGGACGTCAGGACCTCGGCGTGGGAGATGACGAAGCCAGTGCGCGTGACCTTGTACTTGCGGAAGTCGAACTGGCTCACTCCGCTGGACCCACCAGCAGCCCTCGAATGTGGCGACAGTTTCGCAGATCGCAGCCCCCCAGGGATGGCGAGGTCTAATCTGAATCTGCGTGGTGCCTCACCCCGCTGGACCCACCAGCAGCCCTCGAATGTGGCGACAGTTTCGCAACCAGCAGCCCTCGAATGTGGCGTCAGTGTCGCAGATCGCAGCCCCCCAGGGATGGCGAGGTCTAATCTGAATCTGCGTGGTGCCTCACTCCGCTGGACCCACCCTCAGCCCTCGAATGTGGCGACAGTTTCGCAGATCGCAGCCCCCCAGGATGGCGAGGTCTAATCTGAATCTGCGTGGTGCCTCACTCCGCTGGACCCACCAGCAGCCCTCGAATGTGGCGTCAGTGTCGCAGATCGCAGCCCCCCAGGGATGGCGAGGTCTAATCTGAATCTGCGTGGTGCCTCACTCCGCTGGACCCACCAGCAGCCCTCGAAAGTGACGACAGTTTCGCAGATCGCAGCCCCCCAGGGACGGCGAGGTCTAATCTGAATCTGCGTGGTGCCTCACTCCGCTGGACCCACCAGCAGCCCTCGAAAGTGACGACAATTTCGCAGATCGCAAACCCCCAGGGATGGCGAGGTCTAATCTGAATCTGCGTGGTGCCTCACTCCGCTGGACCCACCAGCAGCCCTCGAAAGTCGAGGTCTAATCTGAATCTGCGTGGTGCCTCACTCCGCTGGACCCACCAGCAGCCCTCGAAAGTGACGACAGTTTCGCAGATCGCAGCCCCCCAGGGATGGCGAGGTCTAATCTGAATCTGCGTGGTGCCTCACTCCGCTGGACCCACCAGCAGCCCTCGAAAGTGGTGACAGTTTCGCAGATCGCAGCCCCCCAGGGATGGCGAGGTCTAATCTGAATCTGCGTGGTGCCTCACTCCGCTGGACCCACCAGCAGCCCTCGAAAGTGACGACAGTTTCGCAGATCGCAGCCCCCCAGGGATGGCGAGGTCTAATCTGAATCTGCGTGGTGCCTCACTCCGCTGGACCCACCAGCAGCCCTCGAAAGTGACGACAATTTCGCAGATCGCAAACCCCCAGGGATGGCGAGGTCTAATCTGAATCTGCGTGGTGCCTCACTCCGCTGGACCCACCAGCAGCCCTCGAAAGTCGAGGTCTAATCTGAATCTGCGTGGTGCCTCACTCCGCTGGACCCACCAGCAGCCCTCGAAAGTGACGACAGTTTCGCAGATCGCAGCCCCCCAGGGATGGCGAGGTCTAATCTGAATCTGCGTGGTGCCTCACTCCGCTGGACCCACCAGCAGCCCTCGAAAGTGGTGACAGTTTCGCAGATCGCAGCCCCCCAGGGATGGCGAGGTCTAATCTGAATCTGCGTGGTGCCTCACTCCGCTGGACCCACCAGCAGCCCTCGAAAGTGGCGACAGTTTCACAGATCGCAGCCCCAAAGGGATGACGTAAAAGGCAAGAGAGAAGAGGAGGAGCGAAGAGAGGCGGAGAAGGGAAACAAGAGGGGAGAGGAAGAGGGAAGAGAGGAGGAGGAGGCGGGAAGGAAGGAAGGTGGAGACCGCAGTGCTCTATTCAAAACGAGTACCCAACGCAGGAGGGTTGGGAAAAACATAAACATAAACTTCAGGCGCTCCGCGCGGATTTCATAGATCTGCGCTGGACCCCCTCCCTGGCGCGCGGAGCGCGCCAGGGGCGGCGCTGGAGGCGCCGCGGGGGGGCCGAGCGCGGATCCAAGAAATTCGCGCGGAGCGCAACAAGTTGATGTTTATGGTGTTTTTTCCTTCTTCGAAAGAGACCATTCCATCAAACACGTAGAACATTAGAGTACCCTCCCCGAAACGGCCTCGATCTTATACCTCGGTCCGGCCGTGCAATCGAAACGTGGTCACAATGATAATAGGGCCCAGGGACACACAAACGAGTGGCACGCGTGCACTGACTCTTGCACCAAGGAGCTGCGAGGGACAGGAGGCTTTCGCCTCCTTCCTCCAGGAGTTTCCTTCCGTGGGCGGGGGGGAGGACGAACGACGAACGAACGACGAACGAAAATAAAGAGGTCTGAGCTCTAGAACACAGCTGTGCAAGATAATACACAAGTCTGAGCTCTAGAACACAGCGGGCAAGGCCAGGCTGGGTCCAGGGCAAGGGCAGGGGGGAGGGCTGGGTCCATGGCCAGGCCAGAAGGCCAGGGAGGCAGGGGGGGGGGGCAGGGAGGCCATGGGGGGGAGGGCGAGGGGGGGCTGGGTCCAGGGCAAAGGCAGGGGGGAGGGCTGGGTCCAGGGTAAGGCCAGGGGGGCCAGGGGGGAGGACGAACAACGAGCGAACGAACGACGACGACGACGACGACGAACGACGACCGACCGAACGAACGACGACGACGACGACGACGAAAAGAAGGAGGCCGGGGGGGGGGGAGAGACGACGAACGAAAGGCCAGGGGGGGGGGAGAGCGAGGGGGGCTGGGTCCAGGGAGTGAGTTAGGGAGGCCAGGGGGGGGAAGCGAGGGGAGATGGGGAGGGCTGGGTCCAGGGCAAGGCCAGGACGGCCAGGGGGGAGGGCGAACGACGAACGAACGAACGAACGAACGACGACGACGACGACGACGACGACGAAAAGAAGAAGGTCCGAGCTCCAGAACACAGCTGTGCAAGATAATAAATACACGCAAATCCGAGGATTCCCATCTGTCTGAAGTTTCTGGATTTTCGTCTTCCCCCCCCACTTCCCGTAGTTGCCCTGCTCTTTCTGGGGAGTCGACGGCCCATTGTGTCTGTGTGCTTTTCCCCCCTTCCCTATAGAGTGTGGGCCCTGAGCATGCGGAGCCCCCTCGCCGAAGGCCAAGGGACCCCCTATGGCGGCGCCCGGCACGAAGCACGCTCGGAGGGGGAGGGCCCCAGCGCCAAGAGCAGCAGGGACCCGACCCCTCCGATGGGGGGAGCGAACCCACATGTGCCTCTGCGTGGGGGGCGCCCAAGAGGCGGGGGCGCAAATCCTGGGCGGGCGGCGCGTGCGCGGCCCAGGGGGGGGGGCCGGGGACGTCTTGGAATGACCATGAGATCTGGGGAGAGATCGTGGCCCCCCAGGATATTCACCCCCTCCTAGTCATCGCCCCCCCCTTGTGGCCGCCCCCGAGAAGTCATCGGGCGCCGAGGCTATCAGAGATGGACACGGCAAAAGCACGTAGAACGCGACGCAGATCGGCAAACCTTCTGCGCATGTCTCGTGGACTCGACGAATCCAGTGTGGGGGGTGAATCGGTTTCTGCAGTCGACACCCTACTCGGAGATTGGCCTCAACTGTGGATACGGGAACGAGAAATGGTTGAAACATCACAACTCAAAAGGTCCGCGCGGATTTCTCGGATCGGCGCTGGACCGCCCTGGCGGCGCCTCCGGCGCCGCCCCTACCGCGCTCCAGGGAGGGGGTTCCAGCGTGGATCCAAGAAATCCGCGCGAACCTCCGATTATGTTCATGCCATTTGTTGTTCCCCTATCCAAAGCGAGTAGGGGGTCGACTGCAGAAATCGATTTGCCCCCACATTGATTCGTCGAGTCCACGAGAAAGGCGCAGAAGGTTCGTCGATCTACGTCGCGATCTACGTGTTTTTTTTTGTCGTGGATTCGACGAGGAAACCAATTTTTGGGGCACAATGGAGGCTTCGATCGTACCCCCCTGGGGGTATATCTTTCTTATCTGCATCGTGTATTTCGTGCAGCCTCTAAGGCAGGGGAAGAGAGGACGGATGGAAGGAAGGGACAATGGGGAGGGTGGTTAATGGAGCACGAGAGATAGAGAGAGAGAGAGAGAGTAGGAGGGGGGCTAGGAGCAGACAACACGTGGCAGAACCAGACGGGCAGATCGGGCGGGTAGACCCTAACAGGCGGGTCGGGAAGGCGGGCCCAGGCGGCCAGGTCGAGCAGGCGGGTGGCTGAAGCGTGCGTCATGCATGAACCGCGAGGACTTCTCGAGCGATAGCGCGATTCCCAAATAAATCGTATGGAAATCCGCAGCGAGAGCGTGATTCCTGAGTGTCGAGGGCGCGGCGTCTGAATACATTGCGAGGAAATCCCCACGCGAGAGCACAATTTCTGCATACACTGCGAAGATGTCCTGCGCGAGAGCGCGATTTGGGAATCAATTGTGAGGCTGTATCAGGCGGGAGCTGCTGCTGTTTAAGCCCAGGGCCAGCGGCCTAATTAGCCTGGTGGCACCTCGCTCTCTCTCTCTCCCTCTTGGAACAAACTGGGTGCGAGCCCAGGGAGAAGCACTTGACTTGGAACAAACAGTGGTTACCAGGGGAGGGGTCAGCAACAATTCTTCTCTAGAGCTTTTGAACTCAACCACAACATCAACACAAACAGCAAGCTCGGAGGCCCGCGGGGATTTGTCGGACGCGTGCCGGAGCCCCTCCCCGGCGAGCGGAGCGCGCCAGGGGGCGTTGCCGCAGCCGCCGCCAGGGGGGCCCAGCGCCGACCCCAGACATCCGCGCGGACCTCCGACAAAAAGCGCGTGTCTGTGTCTGTGCTGTGGACGCCCGAACTGGGCACGGAAAGACTGGGCACAATGCCCCACAACACATGTCGTCCCAAACCAGCAGCGGCCGCTGTTGGGCGGGCGGCCTTCTGTCTCGAACGGAGACAGGCCGCGGCGGCGCGGACAGCGAGTCCTCTTCAAGATGCACAGGAACTACGGTTGGGCATCGTACCCATTCTTTCCGTACCCATGTCGGGCGTCCAGATATGCAGCTCGTTCTCCCTCGATGGAGGGCGTCCGGGGCCCCCCTGGGAAAGCCACCTCTGGGCGCGGGCAGATCCCCTGGCAGCGCCCGAGGCTCCCTCGGGCACCCGCTGTCTCGCTCTTGGTCAGCACGCCGCCCCTGGAAGGCCTGGCCCGCTCCCCACGGCCGGCCTGTGATCCCGAGTCCTTGCCCGACGCTTGACGGTTCCGGGGCCCGGCGAGGGCCCCCGGAGGCCGAGACCCGGGAGACACCTCCGCACCGAGTTCTGCACCTCTGGAGGTCTGGGCTGGCGGTTCGGGGGCGGCGGGCAGGCTTGGTTCAGGGTGAGTTCGGCGGCTGCGGGGGCGCCCCATGTCGAGCGGGGAGGCCTCAGGTCGGGCTGGGGAGGGGGCCTCGGGCCTGGCGAAACCAGCCTTGTCCAACGAACCCTTCTGCAGAGGCCTCCCTCCCAGATGGGGTCCGATCAGATGGAGTCGGAGGATCGCGCCGCATCTACGATACATCGACGATGCGTCGGCGATGCGTCGGTGATGCAACGCCCACGTCGGCGATGCATCGGGGACATCGGCATCCAACGAACCCTTCCCCTCGGGCAGCCTCCGGGATGTCTGCTTTGGACGCTTTGGAGGCCTGGGCCCCCCTCTCGAAAACCGCCGCCGGTCGCGGGAGCCGGCTCATGAAGCCCTGGCGCAGGTCCTCCTGCGAGATGTCCTGCGGGCTGCGGGGGGGGGGAGGCAGGGGGCTGGACCATTCTCGATCGCCGCCAGGCAGACTTTGCGGAAGGAGGAGGAGGAGGAGGAGGAGGAGGAAGAGCAGGAGGAGGAGCAGGAGGAGGAGCAGGAGGAGTAAGAGCAGGATGGATGACGAGGAGGACAAGGAGGAGGAGGAGGAGGAGGAGGAGGAGGAGGAGGAGGAGAGGAGGAGGAGGAGGAGGAGGAGGAGGAGGATAATGATAATGAGGATGAGGATTAGGGTGGGGATGAGTACGAGGAAGAGGAGGAAGAGGGGAGGAGGAGAAGGAGGAGGAGGAGGAGGAGGAAGAGGATGAGCAGGAGGAGAAGGACAAGGAGGAGGAGGAGCAGGAGGAGGAGGAGGAGGAGGAGGAGGAGGAGGAGGAGGAGGAGGAGGAGGAGGAGGGAGGCGACGGGCGCGCGGGATGGGGGGGGGGCAGCAGGCACTCAGACGCCGTGGGGGTCCAACGCGTCGCAAGGAAAGGCGCTCGCGAGCGCTCAGGACTTGGGGACTCCAGTGGGGCCACGCCAATGGCCACTCCGACCGAAGGTCACTCGGGCGTGTAGTCGACGATGCCGCGCGACGGCTCCCCGCGCACTGCCTGGCTTCGTGCGCGCTCGTGCTTTCCAGATGGTCCCAGATGCTCCACGATGGCCCCGGATCTCTGGCGCTGACCTCGCCGAGCAGAACACACATGTCCGAGCGATGCGATGCCGAGACTTTTGTTCGTCGTTCACACATCCACATCCACGACCTCGCGGGCCGGGCCCCGGGGCCGCGGCCCCTACGGACACAGGGCGATCTCCCGCGGATGCACCGCGCGGAACACGTCCAAGCGGCCGTGCTTCCACGGGGTTGCGCCTCAAAATCCAGACCGCGAGGGCGTGTATACGGAGATGTTCCCGCGCGGTTCCCCCCCTTCCCCTGACGTCTTGCCCCCCCTGCGTTCTCCGCAGCCCCGGGGCGCACCAAAAAAACCTCAAGGTCCTCTCACGAGACCCCGAGAGGCTTCAGGGGGCCACCCGAAAGCACCCAAGGAATACGTAGCACCCCACAATTGCGGATAAGAGTGAGGGGGCGGGCTCGGGCGACGCGGGCATCGAGCTGGCGGACGTCGTGGCCCTCACCTTCCCTGTCGATGGCGCCCTCCTCCTCCTCCTCCTCCTGCTCCTCCTCCTCCTCCTCCTCCTCGTCTTCCTCGTCCGCGTCCTCGTCCTCATCGTCGTCGTCGTTTTCTGACAGGTTCAGCGCGGGGGGGATCGCTGGTGGGTCACCCGGAACGAATGCTAAAACAGCCCGCCGCAGGCGCCGAATTTTTGGCTTGTTCAGTGAACGTAGTTTGGGTCGCGGGCTCTCCACCTCCACCTGGAAGGGATTCAAAAACAGCCCGCCGCAAGCGCCTAAATTTTTGATTTGTACACTGCGCGCAGTTTGAGTCGCAGGTTCTCCACCTGGAGCAAGTTCAAAAACAGCCCGCCGCAGGCGCCGAATTTTTGGCTTGTTCAGTGAACGTAGTTTGGGTCGCGGGTGGGTCGCGGGCTCTCCACCTCCACCTGGAAGGAATTCAAAAACCGCCCGCCGCATGGACCGAACATTTTGGCTGGTTCAGTGAACGCGGTTTGGGTCGCGGGTGGGTCGCAGGTTCTCCACCTGGAACGAATGCAACAGAAGCCCGCCGCAAGCGCCGAACATTTGGGGTGGGTCGCGGGGTGGGTCGCGGGTGGTTCGCGGGTGGGTCGCGGGGGTCGCGGGTGGGTCGCGGGCGGGGTAGGTCGCGGGTGGGTCGCGGGCGCGGGGTGGGTCGCAGGTGGGTCGCGGGTGGGTCGCCACTGGGTCGCGGGTGGGTCGCCGGGGGGGTCTCGGGGTGGGTCGCGGGCAGGTCGCGGGTGGGTCGCGGGTGGGTCGCGGGGTGGGTCGCGGGGGGGTCGCGGGTGGGTCGCGGGGTGGGTCGCGGGGTGGGTCGCGGGTGCGTCGCGGGGCGGGTGGCGGGTGTGACGACAACAACAACAAACAACAAACAACAAACAACAAACAACAACAAACAACAAGCAACAAACAACGAGCAACAAACAACAAACAACAATCAACAAACAACAAACAACAAACCACACACAACAAACAACAAACAACAACCAACAAATCACAAACAAAAAACACCAAGCAACAAACACAACAACAACAACTACAACAACAGCAACAACAACAGCAACACCGACAACAACACCAACAACAACAATAATCAACATCGCGGAATTCAATTTCAGCCGCGCACCCATGGACAGTGAATGACCGTTTGGTTCAGCCGTCTCACTCTGATTCAATGGCGAGGCGCCATGAAATCCCAAATTTTTCGGTCCAATACCCAGTGGCCTCGGGAAGGCTTCAGAGAGCCGACTGATAGCCCCAGAGGCCCCCCCGCAAAACTCCCAACACTCCATAAAATGGTCCAGCACGGGCCCCGAGAAAGCCTGAAGGGCCCCCAGACGGCGTCGAGAGGTCTCAAACGCGGCCCCGAGACAAAACCAAACGCCTCCCCTCTCTCTTTTTTTGTTTTCTCTTTCTCTCTCTCTCTCTCTCTCTCTTTTTTTTTTTTTTTTTTTTGTTTCCTCTCTCTCTCTCTCTCTCTCTCTCTTCTTCTCACTCTCTCTCTATGTTTTTTTTTTTTTTTTTTTTTTTTTTTTTTTTTTTTTTTTTTTCTCTCTCTCTCTCTCCTCTCTCTCTCTCTCTCTCTCTCTCTCTCTCTCTCTCTCTCTCTCTCTCTCTCTCTCTCTCTCTCTCTCTCTCTCTCTCTCTCTCTCTCTCTCTCTCTCTCTCTCTCTCTCTCTCTCTCTCCCCCCCCTCGCCCTCTACCTCAATTACGTTACATCCATATTCTATGTTTAGCGTCTTTTTGTCGGGTGCCTGCTGAAGAGCCCCGAGCGGGGCTGCGCCGACCCCAGTTTTCAGATCGCCGGCCAGCCCAGGGTCAGTTCTGCACGCCGAGCTTCTTCCAGCCCGCCCGGTCGAGCGCCCCGGCGAGCTGAGCCGCGTCCGCCGCTGGGCGCCTCGGCAGCGGAGCGCCCGAGCGGCCGGCCTGTCCTGTGGCAGCTGAACAGCATGACCAGCCCAGCTGCGGGTTCTCTGGCGGCGCTGTTGCACGGGATCGACGCGGCGTCTGTCGATCGCCCCGCGCCCCATTTCGTGGGAGAGCTGCCGCCGCTGATCGACCGACTGCCGCGGCGCCCTGCGGCGTCGGAGCACCTGGGCCACTTGCCGAGAGCTCCAGCTCCAATGGCTCTGCGTCGGCGTCCGAGGGCTCGAGCTCCACAGGGGCGCTGCCCAAACCGTCCTCAGGGGCAACCCCATGCGGCGCCATTTCAGTATCCAACCGCAACTTGAAATTTACCTCCACTCGTGGAAAACTTCGTTCGCTTGTGGAAATTGCGCTTCTTGGCATGTGATTGTTGGGCCAGGCGTGCCCTTGGAGTCGATCGCCGTGCCCGGAAAAGTGAGGCTGTCCCCCCGAATCACCTCCTCGCCCATCGCGCGCAAATGCTGGCTGGGTCTGGGCGAGGCGCTGGCCCAGCGCATCTTCTCTGGTACTGCGCCGAGACCGATCTCGGCGTGCTCGGCCGCCGCTTCCGCGATCATCTCCTCCACGTGCTCCATGGGCGCGGCCCCGAGCGCAGCATCGCCCGCGTGGCAGACGCAAAATGTGAAGAAACTGTCTATGCCGAAACCCTTGCCATGCGCCTTCCAGCGGGGCTCTATCTTCCGTGTCGACATCTCGCGAAGATCAGCGGAGACTCCGGCGCGCCTTGCGGGGGGCCCCTGTCCATTCCGATCTCGTCCGGGGCGACGTGCCCCAGATGACTTGCACGGAGCCCTGGTGCCAGATCGCCGCAATCAGCGCAATCTCGGGGAGCCCTATTCCCCGCGGATTTATGGCCTTGACAGCGGCACGGTGGTCGACATGGTCGAAGGCCTGCTTCAGGTCGAGATGCGCGGTGAACAGCGGCTGCCGCCACTTTCTGGCCAGCTCCGCCGTTCTGTTCAGCACGAGGAGGCTGCCAGGTATGAGCGCCGTCTGCATCGATGCGACAGTCAGCGCGGGCAGCGACAATATCCAAATGTAGCCGAACACCTTGCACATCGCACAAGAGCCCGCGATAGGTCTAAACTTCGCCAGGACGGTCGTTCCAAACACCTCGGGCACCAATGTCGTCAGCGATCGCGCCCACTCCGTAGGGAACCATGTTTTCTCCAGCTGCGAGCCAGTTTTGCCATCAACTGTTTTTTTGCACTCGGTTGGCAATGCCTTGAAGAACTTCGCAGCGATGCGGTCTGGACTGCCCTATCCCCTTTGGACATCGACATTGGTTTGTCCAGATGTTTCCGGGTGGCCATTGGATTGCGCGCGTCGCCGTGCAACTCCAACCACACATGCATCCAATGTTCCCTCTCCTCCTTAACGTGCTGCCGTTTGTCTTCTGGGAGCCCGTACGACTCGGTGTAGAGCACCGCCGGCGTGGATTTAAGGTCCCGTGCCCCAGCGATCTTCGTCCAGTTGAAATGCTTCGCTGGCGAGTTTTTGGGCGCCCAGCCAATATCCACGTCCGCCTCGAACCGTTCCAGATGCTTCTCTCGCTGGAGCGCCCGCGCCCGACGCCAGATGCTCTGGTAGATCTTGTTGACTTATTGCTTGTTTCTTCTCTTATCCTCCCGCAACCGAAACAGGGCCACCAATTTGAGGCTCCGCGTTCGGAACCTTGCGTTGGTACTCCCGCGCAGCTGCCCTGAGCGCCGTCGCCGTCGTTTCCCAATCGTGTCACTGCGGCTTGTTCTCTGCCGCCGCTTCGGCCCAAGTGGAGGCCGGCTTCCAATGTTTGATGCAACGGGGGCGTTGGGGCTCGATGGCACCATCTGCTCCTTGCTGCTATCTCCATGTGCAAAATCCGCCGGCCCTGCCGGCGTGAGGAAGGCGCTATTCCGTTTACCTCGTCGTCGTCGTCGTCGTCGTCGTCGTCGTGGTTGTGATCGTGGTCCTCTTCGTCCTCGTCGCCGCCGCTCGCCGTCGTCGTCGTCCTCGTCGACGCCGCGCCTCCCCTTTCCCTGTGTCCGTCGCCTCCCCCCCTTCTTTCATCTCGCAGTTCTCCTCAAGCAACTCAGCCACAGCAAACTTCAGCAACGTCGTAGTTGGGTGGGAAGGAAGCCTCTTTCCTTTGATCCCTTCTCCGCCGGGGGTGATGGTCCTGGGTCAGAATGCCACCCCAAAACTTACTCAAAGTGCCCCAGAAACGCCCCCTAAACGGTCCAACGGGACCCCGAATCGAATCGCCGAACGATCAGTCCAAAACGTTTTACAGCCTCCAGACGGCTCCAGGGGGCTGGAAAACACCCCAAGAGGCCTCGAAGAGCACTCCCAAGAGAACAACAAGAGGCAACATTCATTGATTCCCCTTAAGTTTTCCATAGATTTGGACGCTCTCGCCTTTTCAGCTTCCCGACGCTCCGAAACGGCTCAAGAGGCTCCAACGATCGCCCCAAGAGGCCCCCAAAAAGGTCCCGAAACGCGCCAAAAAACACCCGAAGACGGCCCAAGACGCCTGCAAAACCGCCCAAAAGGCCCCCAAGAGGGCTCCTCGACGGTGCCCAGACAGGGGGACCAAAAGGACATGTCGAGCCTTTCGGGGCGAGAGGTTCCGAGGATGACCTAAGAGGCCCCCGAGAGGCCCCCAAGAGTCTCCAAGCGGACCCCGAGGGCCCCAAGGAAGCCTCAATAGGCTCCCCAGAGGCCTTTCAGATGCTCCCAAGGGGCCCCCAAAACTGCCCTGGAGGCCTCCGGGGGCGCCCCGAAGAGACCCCAAAACAGAATCCTTAAGGACTCTGACCCACGTCACCGTCGTCGTCGTCGTCGTCGTCGCCGTCGTCGTCGCCCCCCTTCAGGGTCGGCGGCGCCGGCTGCAAGGCCTTCGCAATACAGTAGCGCGGTCCGCAGTGATTTCTGATACTGCATCCACGCCGACTCCATGCGCACCGTACTCGAAACAAATATCAAGCCGATTTGTGCCCCGCCTGAGTCGTCCCAGTTGCGGCGTGTGAAGAGATCGGGCTCCTCCTGCGCCTCCATCCGAAAATTTGTCACGATCATGCCCGTCTCGGCCGCGAGCGCCTGCGCCGCCTGCGCTCTGACCTTCTCTCCCGATGTCGAAGCACCCGTGGCACCTGCTCCCCCACGTGGTGATAATCGGTGGTGCCGTTGAGCTTGGGGACAGCAGGAAATCTTGAATCTCCCTCGCAACCTCGCTGAACGTCCCGAGTTCGTCTCTCTTGCGAGGGAGGTGAGCTGAGATGAGGATCGACGTCCCCTTGAACTCCACCGCAACCCAACGACCTCCACCTCCCAATGTCCGCACATCCCCTGCCAGTCGCCTGTGCACTTAGACAGCTGGGCATCGAAGTCCCCCACAACAAAAAGTGGCGGGGTGAAAAACACGTTCGCCCCCGTGTCGACGCCCTCCAACTCCGTGAAACTCTCCTGCAACAGAAAAGCATCCCAATGCTACACCGAGAGCTGCTGCAAACACGGCTCGATCTGCGCTTCCACCAGCTCCGCCATAGTACACGCCACAGCCGTTAATGCTTGGGCTGGCTCCCCACTCCCCCGTCAATGCGACTGTTTCACATTATCGGAGGATGATGTCCGCGTTCTCGACCTTCTGCCTCTTGGCGTCGATGTCCAGTGCAAAGGTCTCCGTCTTCCCGACGAGCTCGCGCAAATTATCATCCGAGCTCTCCGGGCTCGTGGGGGCAACGCGCTTCCGCGCTATGCTCCTCTGGATGTCCAGCTCCTGGCGCTCCAACCTCCTCAACTCGGCGACAGCCTCCACGGTGATGCCGCCCTCGTCCACCTGCATGTCCTTCTGTTCCGGCTCCTCCGCCTCGTCTTCGGCGATGCTGCAGCGAAGCGCTGCGACCTCGTCGATCTCCACCTGCAGCTGCTGCTGGCGTTTCTCGAGGCTCTCCTTGGCCGTTTCCAGTTTTTTGCTCTCGACGTCGATCCGCTTCGTCTCCCGCTCGATCCAGTCCCTCTTCTTCTCGAGTTTGGCAGCCGCACTCCTGCCATCCTTCGCTGCCCTCCTCTGTTTTGGTGGAACGAACGATGCTATAAACATAAATCTCGGAGATTCAATTTTTACGCGAGCGTTTTCTTGTTCGGCGTTTCGACATGGGGAGGAAAGGGGGGGAGGAGGGGTCTGGTTCCGAACCTCTGCTCAATGCGACTGATTGCAGCAATGCGTCCTGTCGGGGAGACTCCACCTACTTTTGGCGGCGCGCACAAGGGGGTGGGGGGAGGGGGGGGGGCTTCTTAGAAGCAGGCTGCTTCTTAGAAGGCGCCGGCCTTACATCTATAGATAAGGCCCGCGCCTTCTAAGAAGCAGGGGTGCTTCTAAGAAGCCCTCCCCCCTCCCCCCACTCCCCTTCTGCGCGTGGCTGATACTCGAAACAGGCGCCAAAACAACAGCCAAGATCTACTCCAGGGGGGGGGGGGGAGTGGGGGTGCGAGGGCCCGCGCAGAGCGGCAACGCAGCGAGTGAGAACACGACCGCTATGCCATCCTTCGCCCCTCTTCTGTTTCTCCAGCTCCCTCGACCGGAAGAGGTGCGCTCTCGACCCGCGAATCAAGAAACAAATTGTTTCTCCAGCTCCCTCTCGACGCTCTCGCGGGCCCCGGCAAGGCCGGGGCCCGTCCCCCTGCGGGCGGGCGCCTCCTCCAGGCTCGCGGCCCCGGGCCGCCGCCTGCCTGCGGGGCGCCGCCCCCCACCGCGGCCGCTCCTGCTGAGGAGGAGGAGAGGGAGGAGGAGGAGGAGGAGGAGGAGGAGGAGGAGGAGGAGGAGGAGGAGGAAGGAGGAGGAGGAGGAGAGGAAGAGGAGGAGGAGGAGGAGGAGGAGGAGGGGGAGGAGCATGAGCCGCGCGCTCTGCTCCGCCGAGCCACGGGCGGCGCGGCCGCGGCACGCCCGGCGGCCCCTCCCGTCGCCCGTGCCGCAGCGCGGGCAGGATCGCTCGGCCCCAGCACCGCCCGGCGGAAGGGCGCGGCCCACGAGGTCCTCCTCCCTCCTCCTCCCCCTCCTCCTCCTCCTCCCTCCTCCTCCTCCCCTCTCCCCTCCTCCTCCTCCTCCTCTCTCCTCCTCCTCCCTCCTCCCCCTCCTCCTCCTCCTCCTCCTCCTCCTCCTCCCTCCGCAGGGCAGCCCTACGGCGCAGCGGCGAGGCAGGCTGAACTGCGCGGTGTCTGTGGGCGCGTCTCTCTCTCTCTCTCTCTCTCGTTCCCTTTTGTCTTGCTCGCTTTCTCCCGCTCTCGTTTGTTGTGCTCTCCCCCCAGCTGCACACGTATACACATGTGTATGTATATGCATGTATGTACATGTTTGCGTATACATACATATATACACATGTGTATGTCCTCCTTCTCCTTATCTTCCTTACTCTGTCGCTCTCGGTCCCTCTCTCTCGCTTCGTCTCTGTATGTGCTCTCTCCCTCTCTCTTTCTCTGTCTCTGTCCTCTTCCCTCCGCCCCACACCTCACTCAGGCAGGATCGGAGGGTCCAAGAGGAAGACGGGAGAACCATCATGACAGTGAAGACGAATAGGCGAGGGGATGGAGGCTCGAGGCGGGCGACCGAGAGCTGCCTTTGCACAGCACCTTTCAAAGAGAGGCGCGCAGCAACGAGACGCGAGACAGCAACGCGGCCGATTCCGCCCGTTCACTCAACCGCGCCACAGTGATGCGATGTGACTCCCAGGAGGAAGAGACAACGTACTCTCGGTAGGGTATCAGCGCAACACCCGACAAAACAGCAGCAAACCCAGCTCCAGACTCAGGCGTCAAATGGGCAGGGGAGGTCGATGAGAAAAGAGGGAAGGCCTGGGATGGAGAGGAGGATAAAAGATGAATGCGAACATGCTCGATCCATGACAAAAGCGAATTCTGCAATGACGTTTCGACAGCACGACTGCGAATGCAAGTGTGAAGCTGAGCGGGCGAGCTGAAATAACCACTTGGGAGAGCTGGAGCAACGCAGATCCTGTATCTCTTTCCACTCAGGTCGGCGGCGAAGCTGGAAGTTCATCTTGGGCGCCACGATGACCGATATGTAGTCCTCTGCGGCGCGCGCAAGAGTGACGGGAGGAAGGTGGGGAGACCAAAAGGTACCGATACCGCTACTCCCGGGACCTGTCCCGGGATGCGCTCTGACCAGAATTTCGAGGCGATTCCAACGGTGGCGACGAGGGTCTCCCAGGAGGCCCCCAAAAAGGAAAAACGAGGGAAGGGTAGAGTTGTGGATGCCATGGCGATGGACACTCTAACAATCCGATCATTGAATTAAGCATGTGTTTAACATTTGTAAAACATGTTCTAAAGATGTTTCAAGCATGTGTTCTACCGCTTCAAAACATGTTTGAAGCATGGCCTAGACATCTGGCACTGATTTGGCAGCACACTTCATCTCCATTGATCGACTTCCACAAGGGGTAGAGATGTGAGTACCTTCTCCTCCTCCGAGAAGGGGGTGACCTCCTTAGTAGGGGGTGCCTTCTCCTCCTCCGAGCACCAGGGTAGAGATACGAGTACCTTCTCCTCCTCCGAGAAGGGGGTGACCTCCTTAGTAGGGGGTGCCTTCTCCTCCTCCGAGCACCAGGGCAGAGCTAGGAGTGCCTCCTCCTCCTCCGCCGAGAAGGGGGGTGGCCTCCTTCGGAGCCGCGCCACCCGACTCCGCGCCCCGCGCTCGCCGATGCGCTGCCGTCTCCGCGCCCCCCGCGCCGCCCCCTGGGAGGAGGGCGGCTCTCCGGAAGCAGGCCGCGGCGCACGAAGTGCCTCCTCCTCCTCCTCCTCCTGCTCCTCCTCCTCCTCGATCTCGTCGCTCCTTCTCCTCCTCCTCCTCCTCCTCCTCCTCCTCCTCCTCGTTCTCGTCGCTCCTCCCCCTCCTCCTCCTCCTCCTCCTCCTCCTCCTCCTCCTCCTCCTCCTCCTCCTCGTTCT